GAATTTGTATTTTTAGTGCGCGCCTTTTCGAGCGCCACCCCGTCGGCTCCTTCGGAAATCCCCCTCCTTCCCGCCCCCGCCTCCGTTGACGAGCAAAATCGGTCTTGGTCTTGCCTCCTCGGTTTTGGTCTTGACGCTCAATAGAGTATCGGTTCCGCACCGTCCATAATTATCCCCGCACGTTTCTTCGCATTTTCTTTCCTCTTCCCACTTCCCGTATGATTTTCTGTTCGGCAGGTTTTCCGATTTTTCTCATCCCTCCCCGTTTCTACCCCTTGACATGTCCCTCTCTACCGCGAGTCTTCCGACTCGCGGATATTTACTAGTTAATTTTTAATTGTCAGCTTCTCCTTTCCCGCGGTACTCGCGGCCGGATCGTTAAACACGCCGGTCGTGATTACTCTTAACTCGTTACCTGGCGGAAAACACCTGTAGAGTGTTTACATGTTTACACCTCCGTCAGGAGATGCCGGCCGCGTCCCGTTTTTCCCGCGGTCGGGATTACGCGGAGGTCCGTGGGTAATGCATTTAGTGTAATGGAAACGCGGCTACGTGGCTTGTAACAATGGGTTAATGCGTGTCGTAAAACCCCCATCGAGGGGCGAGCGGCGGTCCGAGGGGGTCGGGGGAGAGAGTAGTCCGCGTCGTCAAAATTCAAAACGCCCCCGTAAAAGTCGGGGGCGTACTCGATTAACCCATTTTTCTCGCGGCGACGTCCGGTGCGTCACAAGGGGTTGCGCATTTCCCCTATATACAAATACGGTGAATCCACCCTCTCTTTCCTCCCTTCCTTCCGTTCCATATGCCCGCTACAATCGATACGCTCCGTGCAGGTGCTTATCACTTGGAACTCGTACATTTCCCAAATTTACACAAATTTCCCCGATCTTGAAAATTTCCGTACCATAGTCCGAGACATTGTTCGACAGACCCACGGTAATAAAATTGAAGATAATACCACCGCAAGCTTATCTATACCGTGCAAGTGCTTATCACTTGGAACTCGTACATTTCCCAAATTTCCACAAATTTCCCCGATCTTGAAAATTTCCGTACCATAGTCCGAGACATTGTTCGAACAGACCCACGGTAATAAAATTGAAGATAATACCACCGCAAATTTATCTATAGACATTAACATTTGGATAATCGAACGCGTGGGAAATACGACGCGTCGCGGGGATTTCGGTAAGGAATCGATCCTCGTTGCGGCCTTCGATTATCGGATTTGCGGTGATTTCCGATGGACCCTGACAAGACCGCGGCGACGACGCGACGAGCGTCGCGGACTGCGGTCGCGGGTCTCGTTTACACCGACGCCGTTAATTCGTCGACCCAAGTCGATCCTAAACCTCGAATAAGGATCGATAGCGCCAAATCTGGCCAAACTTTGAGCCCGAGTCTACGAGAATCCGGACCACGTGCACGGGAGTAGAAAAATCGGTCCGCGATCTCGCAAGGACGTTATTATTATTCTACCGTGACATTCCTCGAGTTATCGCATTTTCGAGCCGATCCGTAGGTGTATGGAATCGGTGTCGGGGATAGGACCGTGTAAGTCAAGGTCCAATTAGCGGAGGCGCGGAGAACGAGTGCGTGGGCGCTGCACCCGCGCGTACGCGTCTACGTAACGAGAGTGCGTGAATGTTTATCCGCTTAAGCGAAGGTGGCGGGCGTACTCTTCGTTGTAACGTGGAGGCTGTAACGGGTGGAGGCGCCCATTCGGGGGTGGGTGAAATCCCCGAGGGGGGTCACAAGGGGTGTCGAGCGAACAGGGATGACGCGGAAGCGTTTCTCCTCCTGCAGAGGTCGTAAACGCGATCGAGGTCGCCAGGCCCGGTGGAGGAGAGGAGAGTCGCATCTGGGGGGGAGACGGGGGTTAATAATAACATGGGTTTGCGGGATCGGCGTTATGACCGGCAGCCGGGGGTAACCTTAATCGGCGAGATTTGCCCGCTCGTAATCCCCGAGGCGCGTGCGAGAGCTGTCGTCCGCCCTGGAATCCGAGGGCCGTCGAGTCCGTGCGAGCAACGGGATTCCGGGGACCGTGAGTATCCCCCATGGACATCCCATTGACGTCCCATGGACGTCCCCCGAGCGTCCCATCGCGAGCCCACGTCCCCCGAAAATCCGACCACAGCGGCTCCCTCGTCTCCGGGCTGTAGGTGCACCTCGACACCTGCGGGTAAATAAATCGAGATCAGGGAAAGAACTCCGATACCTTTCGCGAGATAGCAATCCAGGGAAAAATGAAATCTCATGGGCGTCAGGACCTTCCTCGTGGTCTTTCGTATTCACGTTGTAAAGTTTGAAACGATTCGATTACCCCCAGTTCGGAGAAGAGCTTCATAAACTAGACCTCTCGGATTAAAGGCCTGGAAAACCCGACTGTCATTAGGGATTACTGTCTATTTCTTTCTAAATCGTCCTAAGCCGGGAGAGCGCCGAGAAAACAAGATGGCCGCCACCCCTGCGCCTAGAGCGTCGCCCGCTCGGCGGCAGCCTCCATCCCTATTTCATAGATCCATGGAATAATCTAGGAAATAAGGGAGACGGAGACCGTCCCCCGTGATCGTCGGGCATCGTTAGGAGGGCGCGAGGTGTAACGAAGCCGGGCCAAAAGGGGAAAAAAGGAGGAAAAGAAGGAAAAAAAAAAGAAAAGGAAGACCTCGGGGTAACGAGTGCGCGGCTCGACTCGACTCGGTATCGGGCACGAGCAGTCGGCTCGGCCGGCCTAGCGGTGAAACAGAACGCAGAGAGCCTGGCCTAGTAACGGCAAATCCCTCGGTGTCGATGTATCTTTATTCCTCGCGGCTCTATCGGCCGCGGTTTTAATTCCTGACTCGCGCGAGCGCGACTTTCGAACAGCCGCGGCGAGGCCGCGCGTTGTTTCCTTCGGGGACGAGGACGGATCCGATCCCTTCCTTATCGGCGACATTATCGTCCACGACGGCGTAGCCTCCTCTCTGGGTATATTTTCCGCGTTCCAGCTCGAGATTACATCCCGCCGGAACGTTATCTCCTCCCCTAGGAAATTATCTCCTCTTCTCGGGGTACAATACTCTACGCCTTGTTTTCGAGTGAAGCTCCTCTTTCTCCCCTCGAAGAAGAAAAAAATCGCGGAAAATTGTAGGAACATCTCGGGTATATCGTACCCAGGGCGACAGTCGGGGGTTAACCTAACCTAAAGATATCCCGCGGTATTTCGGTATTCCAATATTCCCGGGGAGCTGATAACTCCCGGAAGTATTATCTAGTTCTTTTTTTTCCGAGTCGCGTTCTCATAACTCTCCTTTGAGGGCTCTCTGTCTCTCTCTAGCGTGCGGGGGGGCCGGTCGCGTCGTCTCTCTCCCTCCGTCTCGCGCGTCCTTCCTTTATGCGCCTTTAAGCGGAGGCACGAGTGCTCACCTCGGCGGCCCGCGCGAGAGGGATAGAAGATCGGCCCCCGAGGCGGAGGGAGAGAGACGAGGCGTAGGTGCCCGCCGTCCCGATTGGTCGGTCGTAAATATCCCTCGGCCAATCATCGCGCGTGATTTAGCGGCCGCGAGGTAACCCGGCCGCGTAAAACCGGCGTCGCGCGCCGCGCCGGCGCACTCGCGTCCGCGGCACCGCGCGAATCGCTTCGCCCTGGACCGCGGCGGGTATAAATACGCGCGCCGCGATGAAGCGGCCATGGAAAGGTTAAGAGCGCGGGGTAAAGCGGAATGGCACCGGAGAATCCCTTTGATCGGAACCGCCGCGGTTCCGCGAAAATTTATGTCGGACTACGACCCGGCGGGAATAATGATTTCGGCCGTTCGACGTTCAGATTGTGAACGTATCGGTGTGTCCCTCGAAGGGGGAGGGGAAAGAAAAGTAAATACCGCAAGACCGTAGATATCAGAGTACAATTGCCTCCCTTAACCAGTTAACCATATTTGACGGTAAATTCCGTAGTTAAACGGATTATTTTCCCTAAGGGATCGAATGTGGGAATCTTAATACGAAGGGGTGTTTTAAGTACTGGAAGTACTTAAAGTCCATTTAAAACGAAGGTGCAGACGAGACGCGCGATATGTCTCGTCATCCCCAGGAGAATTTCTCTGCTGCGCCAGCTCCTGATATGAGCAAACCCGAGGGCTTATCAGCGGGAAAAATGTTTGCCTCGCATCCGTCGAGTGCCTTTGGCCGGATCGACGAGTCCAAATGAGGGCCAGAGGAGGAGGACCGTCTAAGGGATAATTAGAGGAAGAGGAGAGGCCGAGAAGAGAGGCTCCGCCCGGCCGGAGGGAGACGCGTCGACGAGGACCCACGAAAATCGCGAGGCGTTCACCTCCGATAGCACTGACGTCAGTCCCCGTCGATTGAACTCCCTTCCGATCGGGTCAGGGACCGAAACCAGGAACTCCCAGCTCCAGGTCTTACCCAATCTACAGAAGCCAAGAAATCCCTCCTCGCGGCCTCCCTCGTCGAGTTTTTCTGAAAGGAAAAGTCCTACTTCCAAATGTGTGCCGAACTGCGCGGACAGGGTGCGCGGACGATGCGCCATCTTAGGGAAACACGGCTCGTCCGAGTCCGCGGCAAACTCCCCTTAACTATTCCCGTCTTTGTCCGGAGGAAGCCGAGCGGTCTCTTTTTCTTTAAAGAGAAAAGAAAACCCCGCGAATGGGAGCTAGATATGGATTCATTGTTGGATGGGCGCCGCAGGTATTATCGTCCACTTTTTCTTCCATCCGGCGAACCTTCGCGACTGCTCACCCCCTGCCGTTTTACTTCTTTGTCATTAATAATATTAGCAAGGTACCACCTAGTAGATCTTGTTCCCAGGAGGTGGACGGACGACTTCCACCCTTTTTTACTCTGATCGAAGGCCTGGCTCCGGAGTTGAGCCGTTTCCTTCGGCCCCCTTAAAAGGTGTTCTTTACGTCTCCCTAATATATGTAGGGAATTTCCTCGCGACTATCAGGGTAGGATTTACGAGTTTCTCTATTTCATTTTTTTCTTTTTTTTTCTGATTCCAGGATACTATCAGCCGGCTGGACCACTGATACAGCATCCTCCTACGCTACCTCCGGTGAAGGGGCCCCCTCCGGAACCGACCCCGACTCCTCCCCAGAACTCCGAGGGGTCCGACGACCTAGTCGCAACCTCCACCACCTCCGGGGGCACCAGCAGTACCGGTAATTCCTTCTTTATTTTTTCAAGCCCCGGAGACAAGAAGAGGACCGATGTATTACCGATTCCTATAATCAGCTATGCTTTCAGGTGGCGGGGGTTTCTACAGAGCGTATTGCCCTCAGTATTATGGTACGCCACCCCAGTACCAAGAGCTGTGCTACCCGCCGACCTACTCTCACCCCCATCAACACCCTCCGCCTTACTACAAATACGCGCCGACCTACAGAAGGTGGGTGGCAACGAAAACCCTTCCTTCGAGGGTGAAAATGGTCCAGAAAAATATAAGAAAAAAAAAATATATATATATAAATCTCCGAAGGAGACCTCGAAATATCCCGTTTATGCAGATGCGCTCTATATTCGTGTCGCCCTAATTCACGCGTGGTTGAAAAAAGGAAAAAGTGTTAAAAAGGCATCAATGGAAGAGTTTGCACATTTCAGTCGCAGCGTGCCCCGCCGCTGGCCGGCCAGAGCCGGGGATTGAAATGGGTTAACTCGTCCATTGAAATCTATTCAGCAATTTTATCTGGCTCGGTAGTGATAAGCGCGGCACGAATATGGCGTCGATGGAGAACGAACGGGTATAGGTCGGTTGACCTCTGGGCTCGATTTCGGAAATTCCTCCGCGGGGAGGGAAAAAAGGTTTATGAGGAGATGGAAGAGGGAGACTGACGAGAGGCTTCCATTTTCAGGCAGTATTATGGATACCAGGAGTCCGGCGGAGGCGGGGGTCCTGGGGGCGCCGGTACCGGCGGCGGTCCTGGAGTCGTCGACTATCAGCCACCTCCGCCACCTGCGGAATATCCGCCGCCTCCTTATTACGGGGGCTATCCGCCTCCACCACCGCCTCCACCGCCCCCGCCCAATCCGGCGTACCTGCACGCCCAAGGAAGACCGTTCGTAGACCGTAAGTATGAATTTCTCCCGTTGCGATCGAATAAGATCACCTGGTGGTACACCTGGGCAGCGGTGGTACAGATCGCCACAGAAAAACCGGGGGAAAAAAAAAAAATCCAATTTCACCGAGTCGTAGAGAATTTGGCCAGGTCGAGGGTGTTCCTCGACGTACGCCCTGGCGAGTACGTTTAACGATTAGATTCGCGCACGTTTGAAGAGGGTGTACCACGTGGCAGATAATGAGGGGAAGGGCAGGGCGAATTTCGGTCGAAGGTATGCCCGGTGATGAAGAGGTCCGCGGGGATGATTGCAGACGCAGCTTTCCAGGGCTGTCCGTGCCCGATGCAGTCGTGTCCAAAAAACGTGGATACTGGGCCCCTTATTGGTAATGGTAAGGGAGCGCCAGTGGTATCGGGGCCCGGTCTGTCATTGCCACCCAGCGCTTTGGTAGGGCCGCCCTCGCCAGCGAGGGGGCTAGCCGGGCTAGCGCCTCCTCATGGTGCCAACGCCTGGGACACGGATCGCGTCCAACTCAACACCCACCGCAATCTCAATCAGAACCAACCTCAGATGCCGGCGGTGCATAATCTCGTCGGCTGTCCCCAGAATCCGGAGTGCAGGACCAAGGTATGCGCTCAAGGCTTATCAATACGGTGGGCGCGTGATAAAGGTCGATTCACGCTGTTCGCAACGGGGGAAAAAAAAAAAAACAACAATTCAACGGTCGTAACGAGAAATTTCGCATGCTCCTAGGAACCGATTTTTGTTATATCGACAACGGGAAAAAAAATTACGTATCTACGATTGCAAGATCCACTTTGCAGGAACGACAAAGTGCATTTCGCCGTCGTTCGTTCTAGGGGTGATAATTATATTTATTGCAAAGAGAAGAAAAATTTAAAAACGACGATTGCATCGAGGTATTACGTAATTGCAAATATCTTCTAAGTGTATGTTGGGTTTTGTATGGAGCGGGACGTGCCGGTGCCGGTACGCGTCGGATAGGGTGAATCGAGCTTAATTCAGGGAACAGGGAGGGAAAGGGAATCCCGTAACTTCTATCTCTAAGGCAAGTCGGCCTACGTACTTGCAGAACGAGAAGAACTGTCAGGAGGACAAACTGCGGGAGTGCGGCTGCCAGAAGCATGCGAGTACGTCGAGCTGCGGCGTCAAACTGGAGAGTATGCCGCCCACGGATAAGCTGACGGTGGCGAGCTGTCCGGGGAACAAGCTCCACAACTTCAAGCTGGAGAACAACAACGTGAAGTGCGAGTCGTGCAGGGTGGAGGTCGGGGAGAACCTGCCGTGCGCCGGGGCGAACTGCGACGTAAAGTGCGAGTCGGGTTACAAGTGCGAGATCCTGAAGTGCGAGCAGTGCATGAAGGAGGGCCAGATGGCGATCCTGGAGATCGACAAGGACTCCGGGATCCTGATGATCGACGACAAGCTGGAGGCCGACGCGGGGGTGAAGGAGGAGCTGAAAGACGGGGCCATAGAGAGCGAGAACTGGAAGAAGCCCGACTACGAGCCGACCGTGCAAGAGACCGTAGAGGAGAAGGAGATCACGGAGGACCCGGTCAGGCCGTTGGAGGAGGCCCCGAAGTGCCAGAAGGTGGCCAAGAGGAAGCTCTCCCTGGACAGCCTCTCGGACAACAAGAAGAAGCGGAAGGTCAACAAGAGGACCTTGTCGGTGGGGTCGGCGAGAGAGATGGTCGGCCCGAACGACACGATCCCCAGGTCGGTCACGTTGACGGTGGCCTCGCCAGACCCCGTGGAAGTCGAGAGCGAGGCTCCCTCGTCGAAGAAGAAGCCCACGAAGAAGGACCTGCAGGGCCAGAAGCGCAAAGCGGAGGGTGGGAGCCCTTGCGAGGCGCCCACGAAGAAGCCGAAACACCCTAAGCAGAGCTCGACGGGGCTGTCCGCGAGCTCCACTAAGACCGTCGCCACCGGGAACTCCATAATGGACACGATCAACCGGGTGATCCAAAGGGGTCTGCAGCACTCGCAGAAGAGGGACAAGAAGTCGAGGAACGGCGAGCGCCCGGAGAAGAAGAAGAGCAAGAAGAAGCAGCCGGTCAATTTGCTGTCGACAATCAAGAAGGTCACCAAGAAGATCGACCTGGTGAAAGAGGTCATGGCGGAGAAGCTGGGCCCGGCCAAGGGCGAGGCAAGGGTCAACCAGGCGAAGGGGAAGGCGGACACCAAGGCCAGGACTAAGACGCAGGACGCCAAGTCGAAGGCGAAGGTCAAGACGAAACTCCTGGAGGTTAAGTCGAAGCTGAAGGAGGTGCAGCTCAAGGTGCAGGACCCGAAATCTAAGGAGACCTCGAAGCGGGCCGAGGCTCCGGCGAAGGGGAGGGCCGAGACCGAGGAGGCGAAGAAGCTGGCGGCGATGAAGAAGAAGAGGAAGAGTACAAAAAAGGTCGTCGGGAAGAAGGCGAACGGCAAGGCGGAGGACAGCGCGGCGGCCAGCGAGAGCTTGACGCTGGTCAGGAAACCGTTCCTCAAGCCGAAATGGAGCAACGGATGGAGCTGGGAGGGCGACTCTTACGAGGCCAAAGTTTACCTGACCGTAAGAAGACCCTCTCCACGAGTCATACCCAAAGTATACCTCCTAAGAGGTCCGTATAACCGTTTCGTTCTCTGTATTTCCTTTCAGAACGAGGAGTCGGCCATTCGTCGGTGTTACTCGAGCATGAAGCACGTAAGCGGCGACGTGCTGCGGCCTCTCGACTGCGTGTTGCTGAAGAGTGGCCCCCGCAAGGCGGATCTGCCCTTCGTGGCGAAGATCGCCGCCCTATGGGAGAACCCGGACGACGGTAAATTCCAAGAAACCCCCTAAAAAAAAAAAAAACCGTAATTTAACTGGAGTTTTAACATTGAATCGTCCTCAATCTCGCGTCCATATCCAGGAGAGATGATGTTCTCGCTGCTGTGGTACTACCGGCCGGAGCACACCGAGCAAGGACGCACCGAGTTCGACACGGAGGACGAGGTGTTCGCGTCCCGCCACCGCGACGCTAACAGCGTGGCCTGCATAGAGGATAAGTGTTACATCCTGACGTTCAACGAGTACTGCCGGTGGGTACAGGAGAGTTTTCCACGCGGCTTATAAGCGGCTGTCTCGTAACTCAACCGAACTTATAGGCCGATCTTGTCTTTTTCCCCCGGCCACCCCTTCTCGATTAACGGTAAACCGATACTTTTGTCCCGCAGATATCGAAAGAACCTGCGGAGGACGGAGGAAGGCCTGGAGAGTCCCGGATTGATAGTCCCGCCGGGAGAGCAGGTCTATCCCCGGGAGAACCGGCAGCCGCCGATACCGGTGCCTTCGGACATGGTACTCTTTTGCAGGCGCGTTTACGACTATCGCGGCAAGAAGCTCGTCAAGAACCCCGGATGACTCGACCTCGCCTAAAGGAGCCTCGACTAGGAACCACGATGGGATTGCACCAAAACCCTTGCGAAAGAGGCCGCGAGTCAAAACTGCGCGCAGGTTCCCCTTCAGACAGGGCGCGCGCGACTAGCCGTAATAACTACGGCGGCGCGAGACGAACGGATTCTATATCGAGGTTTAAAATAAGCACGTTGCTTCCTAAGACTTTAAACTCGAGGTCGAGGGCTAGGTCGGGAGCGATCACCGGCGACCGAGGAGACCCGGAACTCGCGTCCAGGACGCGCTTATACAAAGATGCCGAGGCACGATTGGGACGTTGATTTTTAAATTTTTTACACTAAAGGCAATCCCTTCCACGGCGCGACCGAGGGGGTCGTAGTGGGTACCTCGACGTTGTCGAGGACTAGGTGGACCCGGACGCGCCGCATCCCGGTCGACGATGCGAGTTCCAGTGCCGTGAGACGCGCCAGAGGCGTTCCTTAGCGAGTTAGAGGGTTCGACGATTTTATAGAGAGAGAGTAACGATATTTTTTGCGAGGATAGCGTTTACAAGTTAAAGGGAATATTTTTCAACTAGGAGCCGCGACCCCCCGGGGGTCGTCGTTCGTTGTCTGACTTTGCCCTGCTGGAGGGAACCTTCGGGCAGTTTTCGAGTGGAGGATCACAAGGGCAAGGAGGGACGAACACTTTAGCCGAAGTAGCGTTGCGTGAGGGCCAACAACCGTGTGACGTGTTTAAGATTACAGAGGGACGTGTTGGATCCGGAAATAAGCGTCGCCAGGCACTTCCGTTTTCAGGAGGTCCGAGGGATGCTCCGCGACTCGAGATGACTCGCGACAAACCGGCGATAACTCGGGATAACTCGCGCTTTCCCCCGGGACGGAGAGAATGCATTTCGACTCTGCACGCCGAGGAAGGGAGAGATACGTCTTTGTTTTTATTTTTTTTTTCTTCTTCAGTTTCCGTCTTCACCGACTAATTGTCCCGTGTCCCACCCGTCGAGAGCTTCCCCTCGAGCGAGACTCGAACAGAAGTCGTCCGCACATTCGGCCCGATAACGCGTCGCGATTATACATGAACGTACATATTTCACATTTCTTTACTACACTTTACATTATTCGCGAGAGATAGGAGGGACGGCGCAGTTGTACAGTTTCACTTCCTCGTAGGATTCTTAAATAACGTAACGACGAGAAGACTCCGACGTCTTATCTCGAGTGTGGCGTACCATCGCGACGGAATGGTACGATGATAAGGGAGGGAAAGAGAAAGAGAGACGAGGCCAGAAGGACGCGACTTTAATACTTCTACAAAATGGCCGCGTCCTCCTGGCCGAGGACCCTCGTGATGCACTTTTACGTATTTATCCTCCGTGTCGAGGAAGACGCGTGCATGGACCGACACTTCGAGTAATCATCGGGAAGTACCGGACGTTATGTCTAATTCGGATTCTACACCCAGGGAGCGTCGATGTTAATTCTGATTATTTACAACTGTTAGCGGCGGGCGGTTTTGTTAGAAATTATATTATTTAAAATTAATATATTGATGATTTATTATTATTTAATATCTAATATATTGGACGTAGATCCTAGGTTATATCTGTAAGGGCGAACGAGAGTGTGAGAGATCGAGAGTGAGTCCACCGAAAGAGAGAAGAGAGAGAGAGAGAGAGAACGGTGAGTGAATGCGACAGAGAAAGGAATAGCTGCGGACAAAAAAAAAAAGAAACGAGACAAAAGAGTAATCGCGAATTCGTTCGGAAGGAGAATCCCCCCCGATACCAAAACATTCTATCGTTTTCAAAATCTTTTTATTGCGCTTTAATATATATATACAATATATATATATATATTTTATAATTAATTTATTAACTTATCAGTAATACTTAATTAAATACATTCGATAAGAGGTCGCGTTAGTATTATCGTAGGTCAGGTGGCACGTCGCCTTGTCGAGCGTCCATGCTCTGACGCGAGCCTCCTGGAAAGAATAGTTGCTTTTCTTTTTTCTTTTTCCCCCCGTACCGGACGCATCCCCCGATATAGTCGTATCTTATGGTTCGAGATACACAATCGTGCTGTATGAAAAATGTTCTCTGGAAATTGCGCGGGACGCTTCGGCGGTTTCTTTTCCTAATCCCGAGAGAGGGACACACCGAGATCAGGCGCGACGCCCGCCAAGCCATCTATCGCTCGGATGATCTTTTATAGATAATTTTATATTCCTTTTTAAATGTGTAAAAAGTCGGGACAACGTAGTTTTTTATAAAGATTTGTCAATGGGAATATACTCGAGACCTGCGAACACGGTTAATTGATGCAGATCCAGGAAATCGCAAACTCCTGGAGCGGACTGCGGCGGACTCGATAAGAGATTTAATGATGACGCGCTATCAGTAGGACGGGAATATCGCGGTTTTATTCCGAGATCGCAGTACGATTCTCTGGGAATGGGATCGAGAAACTTATGCCGAATAAATGTAGCTAATCAAAGGCGGTCACGATTAATTTCCTTGTACATTAAAACGATTCTTCCTTCTTTCTTTCCCGGTGCAACGTGGTATTCCATCGAGTCAGCTGATTGCACCGCCGCAGTTCCCTTCAGCCGTTTACGGAGGCGAGATTAATTCAAGGTATTCCTAAAACGGTTAACATGGGAACATTGCACAAAATGCATATCCTCGGTTCATTTTACATAGCTGGATGAATGACATCTGTATCCGTAAATTAATCGTTAAGGTTAGACGTTAATGATGCGCGCTCGAAGTATCAGAAGACCTCGTGATCGTTTTAATCAAAATGCGAGAGAAAGTCGGGAAGAAGTGTGACAAACCGATTAATTTTCGTTACGCGGTGCTCCACGGCCCTCTGCTGTTAAACGATTACCGTAATTTTATCCCTTAATTAAAAGGACTAAATGAATGAGGAGTTAAATAAATACGTTTATTCGAGAAAAAAAAAAGAAAAAAAAAGCGACGAAAAAGTGTTCATTCTACTACGTACTTCACTTCGAGGGTAGCGGTAGATTAATCCCTCCGGGGTCTGATTGCGGACATTTAAGAATGCCATTGCGTAACGATCATTGATACGATTTGCAAGCCAAAGTGCGGAAAGGCCAGCATCAATTTAGCCGGACATGACGTCATTTGAGATGAGAGGGCACGTCGAAAACCCCCCTCGGAGTTTGCGAATTACTGTTAGGACGTCTAGCGAGTCGTTGGGAAATCGCTGGGACAAAAGCTGCAGAAGGATTAATTAATGGAGTTTTTTTTCCCTCTGCGTCGTTTGTAAAAAGGAGATAAGGTGTTTCGGGATTTGAAGATAGAAAGAAAATGAACGAAGGGCGTCAAGTGAGGCAACACAGTTGATGCCTATCAACTGCATCGCAGGTCGAGAAAATCGCAAGTGCCCGTAGCACTCCTCTTCGCTAAATATAACAAATTGCGCTTACTAGTAGAGTATGTAAGATAGAGTTTAAGCGAGATTAAACGATGCAATGCCTTTCATAGAGGATAATTCTTTTTCTTGCGCGACTTATGATTTTCCTTCGCTATATAACCGTATGCCGACAGCGACGCTCCGTTTATAAAGAAGTTGCTACATCCCCATTAAAAGAGACACGGAAAGGACTCTCTAAACGACAGGACAGCTAACTGGATGGGCAGTGCTCCATAAAGCATACAAATACAATAAATGAAAAGAGTTATTTCTACACGAGAATTAAGATAAAGGTATATAAATAATATATATGAAAATATATATTTAGATAATTAGAAATAAATATATGTATATATACACGAAATTGAGAAGATCAATAATCTGTGTAATTGTATACATACACTTTCCAATACGGCCCCAGAGTGGCGTAGCATGGGTAAGTCTATCTGTGGAGTGGCTTGTGAAGATTCGTCGACGGGAAATTAACTCGATCGGATAAGTACCACGTTGCGATAAATATTTTCAACTATTTTGCAAACTCCTTTCGAGTCCATGGAACAAGAGTGGAACTCTGACGGAATGAAAACTAGTCTCCTCCGGTTTTAGTAGCTTGTCCGATCGCCAGCTTGGCTTCGGTAAGCGAAGCAATAAAGCAGAGTAAATACAGCAATAAGGTAGGTCGAGTATTTACTTAATCTTTGATACTTAATAATTAATCGATGCCAATCGTTTTATTAAAGTAATGCGATTGCAGAGCAATCCTGCAAATGGCACTCGAGCTCCCCCCTCTTGATCTCTCCAGACTAACAGCCTGGGGTCACTGCGTAAATGCAATTCACCCCAGTAGTATCTCCCATCTTGATATACCGCTCAGGTTAATCAATTTTTTCGCATTCCTTGTAAATGCACAACCTTAGTCTCCATCCTTGCGGGCTTGCATATTCATGCCGTATTCAGTTCTTTTACTTTTTATTGGAGGTTATGAGAGGCACGCCTCCTACCAGGAGCATTTCGTTCGCAAAGGAGGCGAGTTGTTCTTTGTCCCATCGCGCCGTGCAACACGAAGAAGGGGGAAAGCTCCCATAAATTATTTGACCAACCTCGGTTTCGCCAAGTGGACCCTCTTTGTACGCAGTCATCCGACCTCTGTCCACGTCCCGTGCGGAGGATCTTGAAAAGATTTTTCGTAATCTATTATCTAAACGCCAGAAACTCCGGCATATATCGGGGACCCATGCGGCGGTAGGTCTTCTTGGACTTCAAGGCCGCGGGGTACGCGAAGAGGACGCCGACTCAGCACGTTTTTCGATCGTTGTAGGCGGGCTTTTGCAAAACTTAGACCCCGAAGATCGGCTCCGGTTAACAGGTGAACAGGAGCGGCGAGGAGCGAAGAGCTCTCCTCTTCGCGCGGTGATGACGAGCTTCGCGGTGTCTCCGCGAGATGGCGTCACCGCCGGCTGGAGCCAGAGATGAGTTGCGAGACTGCTAACGGGCAGGATCATGCGATCGCATCCTGTGCTGCCCTCTGGTTTCGTACGCTAGCTTTCACCATTTTTTGCCCCCAAGGGCAGCGCAACAAATTTCTGATAGGAGCTCGCACACTTCTGGCGGGCCCGGGATGAAGTCCGGCCATCGACCACCAGGGGCGTTGCGCGATGCGATCAGGACGGCGTAAACTGCGTTACCCCGCGTGCACATTACTTTACTTGCCTCGAACCAAAAGACGACTGCGTCGGAAAATGTTTATAAAACGGTTGAAAATTGATGAGAAGACTTTGTGACCAATTCTAGAGCGCACGTGGAAATCCGCTCCTTTTGCTATGTTAATAAAGCAATAACTATAAATAAAGTGGTGAAATATATTTGACAATCCCCACAATCGCACGATCCTGCCCGTAAGCAATCTCCCAACTCATCTCTGTCGGAACTCGCTCCTGCGAGAAACCGGCCGTACGGGTGGTTATGGTTATGTCGCAGGTAATTAACATGCCGCGGTAACTGTATCACTGTAATTTACGTTCCATTATGCGTTTCATGGTTTCATTATCACATTCTTTATCGCTGACAAATTCCCGTCATAATTTAGTGTCATTTTCAACTTGTTGCGAGGCGTCCGGATGCGGCGCTGCAGTCGCGGCGGCGGGTGATAAAAGTGTTTTACGATTTTTCACACACACCCAGGGAAATATACGGAATGTCAACAAATTCCCTCAGCGGGGATATTGCGCACGTCTGCATATATATTGCCCGCGCGATAAAGCGAATATTATATGAGCGAGTGATGATCGGCTTGATGCGAGTTCTGAAGGTAAATTATAACCCGCTTACAAGGTGAGGTTATGATTTTTATGACAATTCTCGCGCGCGCGCGCTCCGTTCGGAAACTACATTCCTCGGTATCTCGGCCATAACGACCTAAACCGACTAGAATCGAGGACCTATAAAGTTAATGAATGATCGCCAATTAATTAAAAATAACGCTCGCCTCGAGTCACTCATTTCGCCGCGATGAAATTCGGCTCCTCGGGTCCTTTCCGCGCGATAAGAGAACGGCTAACGAGACGACCCGGCGGGTATCGGTGTTTAAAATTAATATCCGCTTTATCTTTTCAGCTAATCGATGCCACGTCCTCCAATAACTCGGCCCGTTTCGGCGCGAAACGAGTGAACCCCGCCGACGGGTTTCTGAGAAGAAAAGGAGGGGAAAAAAAAAAGGCCGAGTGAAAGAAGGAACGACTCGTGGGCTACGCGAAAGCGGTTCCCGAAGTCCTCGGCTTCTCGGCGCCCGGTAGCGGTCCAGCTTGGATCAGGAGAGGTAATCCCGGCATCCGAGACGTCGGCACGAATCTCGCGTTCCGTGGGATTACTCGTCCGCCGCGGCAGCGGGCCGAGTGTCTCGATTTTTCGACCTACGAGCCGTTTCAAAATGCTGGGCCCGACCAAGAGTCGAGGAAGAACGATGGAACCTTGGCCAGGGTCGAAATTTCGGTCTGGCACCCAATCTCGCCGCGGTCGCTCGGCGGTCGAGGCCCGCTCGAGCAGGATTATCTTTTTTACGTGTCCTGGGACGTGATCGACGATCGCGGATAACCCGGACGAACCTCGAAACCAGGCCTCGGCGTAGAAATTGTACCGACCTATAGCCAGCTGGGAGCATTTGGTACCTCGAGATGCCGAAGTCTTGGCTTGATTTATTGACCTTACCCAGGAACACGAGTTCCTGCTGTAACTAGTTGGCTTTGTACCACTTCAGGGTGTAATGTTTTCGCACTGATTCCGTGTTTAGGAATGCGGATAATTCCTCACCCGGCAGATTTATGGCGATGAGAGGGTCTGAAGGTGACCGGGACCACGTGAGCCCGGATCGAAGACGCCCACTATTTTTGAGAGCACCCTGGTAAGTCGCCCTTGATCGCCGCAGTCGATATAGATACTGTAAATAATTATTACACACAGCATTTCATCCTTGCCAGGGTTAAAGCCCGTCCTATTCAGGACCATTACGTGTTACGTTATGGCGGAGGAAAATGGAGCTCGACGACGCCGGACTTCCGTCAGATGGAATTGATCACATCGAGGCAGAAGGAGCGCACAACCGGAAACGAAGGTGCGGATTCCTCTCTCTGGTCGCTCGGCGTTCGCCTCCGGGGGCGTGCGATATAAAGAGCGACTCGTTCATCGAGGCCACATTGAGACCGGTCACTCGCCGTCGAGTTTAAAACTTTAATCCTCCGAATGCCTAATCCGAGAGTCAGGAACGCCATCACGGCTGGCCGCGTGCCGCGAGCCGTCCTCCGCAGATTATATTAATTCGATTAATGGATGCCGTTAGCCGAAGCCACGTCCGTCCGGGAGGGCGAGAGAGAGGGAGAAAGAAAGAGAGATCCTTAAGCCGCGATCGCCGCCCCCGACCGCCCCGCCAAGGGCCCGACTGCCCCGTCAGGTTGCCACGGAAGTCGGGGGCGGCGCTCCTCGCCCACGCGGGGGCGGCCTGAAAAAGGAAGAGCCCGTGTAAAGCATTCCAGCCACCTGCCTCGGCCTCCTCGTAATTATAGGCTCGCTTCCTAGAGCCCCTGCGGCGCGTGTTTTGATTTTTCCTCCCAGGGGACCGCGCGTTTTTCCCCGCCGCCGGAAAATCGGCTACCTGGAACCGGCTACCGGAGGTGGAACTCAACAAAGGAGACCGGATGTCGCGGATTGTTGCCGGCAACCGATTCATCCCGTCCAGCGGTAGACGATGCAAATCGGCCTCCTATACCGGGGATTCCTCTAATCCTCTCGTTCCCTGTACCCCAGGGCGATTGTAAAAGAGAAATGCGACGACAGTTTTGACATTTAACTCCATAAAGTACCGCGATAAATTTCATACTTTCCTCCGTTCGCGGCGTGCGCCTCCGAGCTACTGCTGGGAATGCCGAAATGGACGTTTTTCTGAGAGGAACCCCTGGGGCGCCGGTTCTGCTGGGAGGAGGTCCTCGTCTACCGTTTCAACCTATTTCCACTGTCATGGTTTAGGAATGCGAAACCTGGGATGAATTATTGATAGACGCCCCGTTAGGGTTTAAGTAATAGGGATTCGGAGACACTTGTTGCATATCATTTGCGGCTATCGAGAAATTTCAATGATCCGGCCCGTCGAGTCGCGTTATCCTTAAGTCGCTCCTGTAATCCGCGACGGACTTTCCAAGCGAGTAACCGATCGCCGTTGGCTCTTCGACTGGCAGTTCGTAATTGTTCGGAATTGACTCGACCTATGGCTTGCGAACAAGTCACGCAAGAGCGCGTGCGACTGCAGATTCCGTTCCGTTTAATTTCGCAGGGAAAACAGTTGTCCGTTGAATTCCGAATCAGACGGACGGAGTAATTAATCTTCTCCGCGAACGATTGTCCGGAACGATTTTAATCCCTTAACTTACAATATCGTGTGAGAGACGTGGTATATAAATCGAGCCAAATGTGAACAAAACGTGTGAGAGACGTGGTATGTCAATCGAGCCAAATGTAAACAAAACGTATGAGAGACGTTGAACGTTCAGCCAAACCGTGAAATGCTCCGATGCACGACCGACAATTTTTGTTGTTAATGGCACGCGCTATTGGAATTTAAATCGTAAGGCAAGGGGTTAAAAATCCACCTCCGAGGAGAACCCTATACGTATTTACCCCGAGATCGTTAAGAATCCTCAGGTGACCAGAAGCTCGTTAAAGGATCCAGAGCTTACCGGGGGAAAAAGAAAGAAAAAAAAAAGGAATAACGTTAACCGGTCGCAGTAAACTCCTACCGCGCGTTACAGGACGTGTTAACAAGGTGACGAAACACAGAGCCCCAATTCCATCCGACACGAGACCTGGTTAATTAATGAGGCTATATTTCTCAATCACGAGGCAGTTGCACATCTGCCTGAGAAGCTCGTTGAAGCGCCAGTCGCGAGATCGAACAAAAAGCATCTCGTCCAGATTCCCACGTGGTGGATCCCAAAGTTCCTGCCTTTTATACGGATTTTATCCCGACTTCGTCCTGATATCCTCAGCGTTATTTGTTATTTATTAGAAAAGGTGTATCTTACGAAGAGTCCTGTCGCGCCGAAAATCCCGGGATAAATCTTGCAAAAAGTTCCGGTCGGGGGACGTTTCGTATCGTTTATCGCGCAGCATCCCTCTGGGGCCTCCTCGCCGCGCTCCCCTCTCCCCTGGCGGCGTCTCTCTCCCTCTCGGCGGGAGCCGGCATCGGTCGGTCCGCGTCGCTCTCCCGCACGGTACAGGGCGAGCAGGGATAGGACGCTGATTGGCGCGGTGAGTAGACCGCCGCGGGGGTGGGGGCGAGCTCGCAGGGAGGACTCGGGCCATTCGGCGCTCAGTTAGCGGCGAGCCGCCACACGGTGGAGTGTGGGTGTATCTCCGAGTCCTCCCTGAGCCGGTCGTCGCAAGGGATCCGCTCGGTCTTCCGGATGCCTCATCCTGGACCGACCAGAGATCGCCTCCCGGTGCGCGTCGACGCGGTCGCCTCGTCTCCCCCTCGAAACGCGTGTCCGACGATGAGTCTACCGCGAGTTTGGCGCCTTGCTTCGTGTCGGTCGGCGAGTCGCGTCGCGTGAGTGCCCGAGAGCGCGAGAGAGAGGGCCGCGAGGAGGAGGAGGAATCGAAATTCTCGCGAATCCGGTCTAAAGGCAGGAGAGGAGGAGCGAACAGTCCGGAAAAGACCAACGGCGACGGTTTGGTTTCGCCTTTCCGAGAGAACCCGGCGAATCTCGCGCCGCAGCGCGAGGGTCGGTAAAAGCGGTCGCGCCGAGCAGTGGTAAAGCGGTCCCCATGTGAGCGCGGCATCCCGAAGGAGGGCTCTTCCCGGAGGACCCCTGGAATGCGCCGGCCCCGCTAGCCGGGTCGTCGCGAAGGAAGGCGAGGACAGCCTAGGAGCAGAGGCCTCGCTCGATCAGCCCCGAAGAGGAGGATGAGGTCGGCAACCGCACGGGCCGCGTGGGTCGCGGCGCACCTGGTGGTCGCGCTGCACCTGGTGGCCGCGCTAGTCGCGAGGACGGCCGCGAGCGGCCAGGTCGAAGGCTTCGCGAAGATGTTCTCCAGCCAGCAGAGCCCGGCAGACCCTTGCTACGACGAAGACCGGCCTCGCCGATGCATCCCGGACTTCGTTAACGCGGCTTTCGGCGCGGCCGTGGAGGCGTCCTCGACGTGCGGCAGCGGAGGTCCCACGCGGTACTGCGACGTGCCCGAGGTCCCGGGTGGCACGGGGGTAGGCCAGTGCCACGTTTGCGACGACGGCACCCCGAAACGGCGCTTCCCGGCCAACTACCTCACCGACTTGAACAACCCGAACAACGTGACTTGCTGGCGCAGCGAGCCGCTGGTCTCCTCGCAGAGCTTCTCCGCGCCCCCCGACAACGTCACCCTGACGCTCTCCCTGGGCAAGAAGTACGAGCTGACCTACGTCAGTCTGCAGTTCTGCCCGAAGGCGGCCAAGCCGGACTCCATCGCCGTCTACAAGTCCATGGACTACGGCAAGACCTGGCAGCCCTTCCAGTTCTACTCGTCGCAGTGTCGCCGGGTCTACGGGCGACCCAACCGCGCGACCATCACCAAGGCGAACGAGCAGGAGGCCCGGTGCACCGACAGCCATCGCTACACCGGCGGGGACGGCCTGGGCCCCGTGGGTCGCATCGCCTTCAGCACCCTCGAGGGCAGGCCCTCGGCCCCCGACTTCGACAACTCCCCGGTACTCCAGGACTGGGTCACCGCGACGGACATTCGCGTAGTGTTTAATAGACTCTACATGCCGCCCTCCCAGGAGATGAGCTCTCAGGTTGTCGAAGAGTTGGGCTCCGAGGAGGGACCCAAGAGGGACCGCGACGAGCGGCTCAAGAGCCAGAAGGGGGCCCTGCTCTCCGCGGCCACGGCCCTACCCTCCGTCCACCAGGTGATCGCCCCCCAGGAGATGCAGTCCAACGATGCCCTGGACGTTCAGGAGATGAGCTTCGTCGCCGCTGCCACCACCCCCGCGCCCGCCCCTGCCCATCACTACGCCGTCTCCGACTTCGCCGTCGGCGGCAGGTGCAAGTGCAACGGACACGCCTCCAGGTGCATCCCCGGCAAGGATGGCGAACTCGTCTGCGACTGCCGGCACAACACCGCCGGGAGAGACTGCGAGCGGTGCAAGCCCTTCCACTTTGACCGACCCTGGGCCAGGGCCACTGCGAGGGACGCCAACGAGTGCAAAGGTCAGTCTAGATTTTCCATTATACCCTCACCCTGGATCGGGGATTCTGGGGCCTCTTCTTCGAGGCGGTACCCGGGGATGTCGGCATGTCGGCACAATGCTTTGTATATAAGTCCAGACTCGACGTTCCGGAGAAGACACGTCCGCGCGACCTCGAGTCCTGGTTTCCGGGGTACCCAGGAGTCCCGGTCCCTCGGGAAGCGGGTTTCCCGTTGAGACTGATAAATAGGCCTCTTTGAAGCTCGCCTGCGCCGGGAAATATTTCCTCCGGGATAGAGGAGCGGGCATTTAATTACCTCAAAGGAGGAGGCCTTTACACGAGCGGGAAATGGTAATTAAGAAATATTAATTTGAATGGAGCCGACGAGGGCGCTCCCTCGAAGGTCCTCCCCCCGGCTTTTGTTGGGCCGCATAAAGGTCCTGAATCGGGAAAGTCGACCCCCCTCGGTGAATCGACGCCTCTGGATCTCATGGAGATTTATGTAACTCGAGGCGGACATGCTTAATTGGCCGACTTGGCCCTTTGGAAGGGACGCTTTCTTCGTGTCGAGTTTTCGAGCTTCCCGTACCGCCTTGCGGCTGCCTTGGGATGGACCGGGGGTAGACTCGAGAAATCGCGGCTTCCGGTTCCCTCGGATCTGGCACGAGACGCAAATCCTCGGGGATATTGTCCAGTCGAGGAGATTGTTGGCTCGCTTCCATCCCACCAGGGCGGGCGGAAAGTGCTCGCCCGGTTTAGCGCGCCCGATGCCACTCGGTCTGCCGTGTCTCTCCTTTAATGGGGACTCTCGGCTAAATGAAAAGCACAAACACGAGACCCATCTTATTAGGCGAGAAATTCACCCGGGAAAGGGGAAACAATACAAAGATCTGGAGCACGTCCCCGTTCTTTAAGATCCTTCGCTGCATTCGTCCCCGACTTGGGGCCCGATTCTAGAGTTCATATTTTTTTTTTTTTCGCATCCGAATAGATCCGCCTGAAAAATGTTGCATCTTTGCGAAGTCGCCTCATTGGTCAACGTTTAAATGTCGTATACGAAATTATGAACTTTTGCATGCGAAAGTTGATCGATCGAACTCGAGAATCGGGTACCAGAAGTCCAACTTCCCCCTGGGAAATTATTTACGGATTTATCACGGCTTTGTTTACCGTCATTTATCGCACCTGCTGCAAAATGGAGATGGCCGCGGTCCAAAATCCGCCCTCGAGTGGCATCGGCGACAGGTGCGATGTCTCTCGAGGTGCCAATTTTTTAAGTATACCGCGACGCTTCGGGCTTCTCGATATTAAAATCTGATATTCGTTGGGGTGGTCGGGGTATATTATTTTTAAGCAGATTATTTTCACGCCGCTGTTCTACGGGGTTGGAGACCTAGGGCTCGATCAGTAGCGCGTTATTTTTCCCCGTTAGAGGCGGACTTTAAAGTTATTACGGCACATCCCCCGGGAGGAGGAAACCGCCGAAACGATTCACCCCGTAAACATCAAGCGCCCTCGTGCACCCCTAACGGGGGTGGGAAGCAGCGAAGCGTCATTGGCAGAGCTACGTGCGGCAGCGGCCGTTCCTGAAAATTGCAGACTTGGGGTGACGACCCTCTAAAATCATTTCGAATCGATGAAACTGTTTCGCCCGTCCAATCAATCTTGTAGGAAGCCCTCTCCCGGGTAGAGCCGCGCCAATTTCCCTCGCAAAGCCCTTCGAGCCCTCTGCCTCTCCCCGAAGGAGAGGCGCCCCCTTTAGCCGCGACGGGAGCGTCCTCGAGCCCCGAAAGTCGAATCTGGGAAGGTCCTGTCCCTGAAAGGACGCAGGAAAAATTCCCGAACGTCAAAATTCAAAGGCTCGGTATATTAGAAAATGAAATCTTGGTATATTGTAAAAAATCAGGGAGATAAACGCGTGTACTGAATAATGAGCTTTATCGAAAGTACGTGTACATCATGTGTATCATGTGTATCATGTATATCATGTAAGACACCTCACAACTGTTTCTGACAGTCTGGCCGTTGCTAGGACGTTAGTCCTTCTGGGGAAGAGATTATACCCGGCGGTGCAGTATACCCTCTATATTACGGTACAAGGGACGCGTCCTGGAGGTGTCCTGGAAACGGAGTCCCCCGTCATCCGGGACGCGTATAATGGTTTTATAGCCGATAAAATCGGACCGCGATCCTTATTCGAGGTCCCCTTCTCACGCACGGTTTTGTCACCGCGGACCCTCGAAAGGACCTCTCGAGCCATCCCCGACGCGAGTCTCTAAGGTGCACCCTTGTCGTCCGATTCGGCGTTTTTCTTCCTGCCAGGACCTTCTCGATTCTCTTTCGATTATTCCTCGATCCTTTCTGGATCGACCTCGATGCCTCCCTTCGACACCCCCCCAAGCTGACGCACCCCTGCGTTAATTTGACCCGATGAAGTTGCGCTCGTTTACCGCCATGAAATTGTGTCCTCGAGCACGCGTTTACCCGCCGCGGCCGTTTTCGCCCGGGTGTTACGCCCGCCCTAAACCGCGCGGCCGGAACGCGCGCGATTACGTCGCCTCGAATTTCCGCGGATACGCTGCGAGGGAGATGTTCTAGAGCTCGTTCCCGGTCCCGGTAGGCGACGTTGATTTCACGTGAAATTAGAGTCCACATCCCGCAACGGAAGGGCCGCAAAGGCCTGTCAAGGGACGCATGCTCCCCCGTCACTCATGAGCGCCGACTTTCTCGGAAACTACGCACTCCGCTACATCCGGCTCCGTTTCTCTGTTTCCTGGTCAACGCGGACTATTAGTTTCTTTTATTCTCTCAATTTTCACGAGATACTTTTAGAGGAATTAGTTATTAATACAGGTGGGATCGAATTTTTGAATTTAAATCCGAAGGAATTATTTGGAGGCATGGTCGATGCCAATTTTTGGCCCTGTTAGGTGCGGCGGTGTTGATTTTTCAAATTCAAATTCGGAGGAATTATTTAAATATACGGTTAATGCGAATCCTCGACCTGCAGTTAGGGTGGAGGGAAACCGCGCTCGGTGAAATTTCGCGAGAGCCGGCATGAAGGAGCGATTGCGAGGCGCGAAGCTAATAATAAGGTCGGGAGGAAAGTAAGAAACCGGAGCAAGTGATAGGTACCGCTTCGCCGCGGCTCGTAATTCCCACGTAGCGCCGGTAAGGAGGAGCCCTGTAAATACCGGCGTAAACCCAGCGGTCGCCTTTGGGAACGCGGCTCCGGGCCGACGTATACTCGGATTAATAACGCGGGGAAGCGGCTGCGGGAAGTCGCGGATTCGCCATAAACTGCCGCGTTTAAAAGCAAGGTAAAGCCGCGGGGAGATTTATCGGTGATAACGCGAGATAACGCGAGATTACGAAGTCTAATTACGTTTAAAGGCGCGTCCGAATGCCGACCTGCCGCGCGTGATTTCAGTTCATTTTGAGAATAAAAAAATCACCTCGAGGGAAAATCCTATGTCTTTTCTCTTCCTGTTTATATGGCCCTTAATTCCTCGGTTTGATCTCGTCGGTTGTGACGCCCTTCTTGGAGGGTGCACATTAGACGGCACAAAGAGTCTTCGAAAGAGTCCCCGTCGTCCGGCTTGCCGATTCGCTCCACGACGAAAGCCTCCCTGGGGGACCGGGACACTTGACGATTTTATTACGGGGATCCTTCTCCAATTAAGCGGTCGCTATGGGGATCGGCGTTCGCACGGGGACGCACGTGGGGAAAGAGAGGTTACTCGGGATTACGCATGGCCGGGCCTCTGGTGGAGGTTGCACTCGGTCAGAATCGACAGTCGATCGCCGATTCGTCCTTAGATTGAATCCTGACAAATTTAACGTCTCTTAACATCGAACTGACTACGGAATCCCGCGAGACTAACGAGTGCAATTTCCAAATGAATTCTCTCCCCTCCCCCAATGCATCACATCGATTAGTGACGTGTTCTGCAGTTACGTTAAGGCTCTTCTCCACCTCGCACCGAAATGTTTCCACGAGATCTCTCGAAAAGCATATTTAATAACTTCTTATCCAGGCCTATACCGGCACCTGAGTAACGTCGTCATACCCGAGGTTGCGCAAGTCGCTGTACGTCGGGCCATTGACGAGGCTGAATCGGGTAACGGGCCGCGTATAGGTATCTCCTTCTCCCTCGCACTCGCTTCCCCGCGTATACGTCTGTCTCCCTAGGCGTCCTTTCACACTTTCTACCGTCATTATCGGAGTTCCCGGTCGCAATAAGGGACCCTCGGAGGCGCGTTTAAGAATCCGCCGTCGCCTCGGCGAGCTCGCTGACAAATTAGTACTCCGCCGTGCGTAGAGTCCGTTGTGCGGAGAGTTACTACCCGACGACGTTAAGTACTCGCGTAAAAGCCGGCCCGCTCCCCGATACTCGCGGCGGGAGTTCATTTAACGCGCCCATCGACCACGTGGTGTCTTTACGCGAGAGGACTCGCGAGGTGAATGCGCGAGTTATCTCGCGAGGTGGAGGCGCGAGTTCCCTCGCGCGATCTTTAAAAATAAATCACGCCTCCGGTTGGGCCACTTGCGCTCGATGCAAGATCTACGGCCCCCGTAAACGTCTCTTCATTCAATGTATCATTAGCTCGGACGCGTCGTTAAGGCGAGCCGGCGTGTCACTCGGTCGCACCATGGGGTGATAAGAAAGGATAAAGAAAAAGACTGGTTATCGATCGGCTCTTAAATCTCGATCCCGTCCGTAAAGAGGACTTTTCTGTCGACGCTTCGTCGATATCAATGTAATTGCTGGTAGATAATACCCTGAGAAAAAAAATGAAAAAAAAGAACGAAATGGTTTGACATGATATTAATTCTTCATCTCGAGGAAATAAGGTCGAGTGATATTTTTTCTCAGGGTAGAGTTTTTTTTGCTTTTATCAATCATGTACCCAGGATGTAATGTCAAGGTGTCAGGGTACCTCTGGTACCGTGATCGACGCGTGTACATCTCCGACATAACCTCAAAGCATTGATGTCCACCGGTGTACCAGGAGGCGAC